AAAGAAAAAGAATATAAAAAAACAAACAAAATATATAGGAAAAGAATTAAAGTAAAGAATATCCTTGATAAAAGACCAGGAATACATTAGAAAATAAGGATATTTTGTTTTTTTTTACCAATATTGTGTTTTGTTCTTTGTTTTTTTATTTTATATTTTTTAATTTTTTTTTTGTACGGAAGATAACCTTTCCGTGCTAGTTTATATATTTTTTTCCTATTTTATGCTATCATGCAAGAATATCCTTTGTCTATATTCTTTATTTTATAATATAAAAAAAGGGAGGCTTTTAAAAACATATTTAATATTGTCATATTAATGTATGCATGTATGTTACAAGTATATTATAATGTTTATGTTTATTCTAAAATATTATGTTTATTCATTTACTTATAAACTGCTATATATATATATGTGTAGATATAAATATTTTATATTAATCTACACTTATGTAACAATAATGGGTAAAAAAAAAAAATGAAAATGTTCATTTACATTTTAAGCTAAATTATTTGAAGTACCAATACATGTGTAAAATTAAACCAATACATTATTTTTTATTTTAATTTTTTTTTTATTTATTTTTATACAGGGTGTACAGAGTTTTTACAGAGAGTATTAATACTCTAATACTACATTTTGAATAAATATTTTTAAGAAAGGCGTATTGGACAATACATAAATAAAATTGTTGTAAAATGTTGTATATTTTCAATATGATTGCCAAAAAAATTCCCTACAAATGAGTGAAAATTAAAATATTTGAAGAATTTTTTGGATTACAAGAATATTTCTTGCATTTTTATAAATTATATATAGCCAGGGAAATAGTAGGATTTTGAATGGATTTTTTAACAAATTAAAAGTTATTTAAGACCGCATTTTTTTTTCCAATTTTAGGAATTCTCTCATAATCGTATAGCAAAAACAAATTTTGTTAAATTACAGAAATCTCAAACCGTTTAATGTAAATCGTTGAAAAAAATTCATATTTTGCATCTACTTTTCCGTTATTACTTCGTAAATGATGATGAAAAATGTCAATTTGTGTTCATGTTAGAGTAAATGTAACACAAATCATTCTCTTATACAGTGAAACTTCTTACTTCTTAATTTTTAATTAATTAATTAACAATATATATTTAATTTTGACGCAATTAAAGTGTAACCAAAATTAATATAAGTTAAATTTAGTGCATAAATTAATAATACAAAGTTCCCCTAAATATAGGCAATATTTTTAATAATATCATTTTTATTATTTGGCTTTGTTAAAGCTCCGTTTAAATTTTCAAAGGGAAATTTTGAGAACGTAACATCCTATATTTTAATTTATATATGTATATGTATAAAACACTACTACTGTAATGTATCCTATTTTGTTAAGAGAATAAATATACCATTTTACCTAACAGTTAATATGTTATGGCATAATCCTATGTTCTGTTTGTTTGAATAACAAAAAAAAGAAAAAAAAGAGGAAATCTTGATCCTTTTTTTTTAATAATAATATTCTTACATACATACTTACATACACATCTATATTCTTACATTGTAAAGCATCCTTTTCAATCGTTCTATAATGGTGTAATGGTTACATATTTTCCTATTTTTTTATCATATTTTATATCTTCAATTTCACAAAAAAAAATAATAATAAAAAAAAAGAGTAGAAAATTAAAGAGTTTGTATTCAGAATTTTAATCAATTTCAATTTTTTTTTTTTATTATTATTATTCATTCAGTTTTCCCTTCAATCTATTTACAAAAGGAAAATATCATACGGGTTATAAATAAAATTTTAGCGTTTTTTTTTTTTTACTTTCACTTTTACTTCTACCATATTGAATAAAATAACAATATAAATATATTGGTAAATTATAAAAAAAAATTGGGTTAATCAAATAAAATCTTATTTACCTATATATGTATATCAATTTCTTATATACTCATATGTATATACAATGTATGGGTATTTAAAATGATAATAAAACAATTTTATAGTAATTTAATGATGATGTGACATTTAGAAAAATAAATAAGAAAAAATAACAAAAATTAAAAAAAAAAAATAATTGACATTTCATCAGCAATATGATTAGTGTATGTGTGTGTGTTACATAATATAAGAAGACATTTAATGAATTCCAATTATCTACATATTTAAAATATTATTTTTAATTGTTTATGTAGTTAAGGAAAAACAAAAAAATTTTCATAAAACTAAAAATTTATTCATGATTATTGAAAGTGTTAATAATAACTTTGAAATTGCAATTAAAAATATTTAAAGTTTAATGTAAACAAGGCAAATTTTTTTTTTTTGCTAAAATGGAAACAATTCTGAATGAAAAAATTTTGAGGATAGTGAAATCATTGGCAATTAATTTGATTTGGTAAAGGGTTTCCTATAATAGGACGTGGGAGGGGGGGGGTCTTACTGCGACTTAAATTTAGTTTAAAAGAACGAATTTCTATTTTTCTATTATTCTGCATTTGGAGGATTACTTGATTCGTGTCACCATTCTGCTCTGTATAGCAGAATGAAAAAATCATTTTTTTTGCTATTTTAAAGTAACTATGAATTGAATTTAACAAGAAATTTTCTTTCTCTTACAATTTTATAAAATGAATATGTTTGCATCAATTAATTTATGTCCAAGCTTATATGCGATATGAGGCACTACGTGGAAGTGAATATATTGTGCAAGTACGATTTTTTGTAATTCCTTTTAAAATTTCTGAATTAATCAAATAATTTTAGTTTTATTTAAATTTCAGAATGCTAAATAGATAGAAAATTTAGAATTTCAAGGTTCAGTTATAAGAAATTATTGTAGATAAAGATAATATTACTTTCATTTCAAATTTTTAGTCTAAACACACAAAGAGCATTTAAAATGAGTTGTTCATCCATCCTAAAAGTCATAAATTTGTAAGTTACAACATTTTAATTACATCACATATTCTATTATAAAATTGTATATGAAAATCTTGTCTAAATATGGAATATGTATGTAAATATCTTATATGTGCATTTGAATGTAACTTTCATTAATAAAGGCTTTAGAGAAAAACAAAAAAAATATTTTCTCTCCTTTTTTTTTTTTGTCTTAATGAATCATTTTTAATGACTGATGAATAACAGTTTATACATATACATATGAACCTATATAATTATTTTTTAAGAAAATCATAATGACGTCATTACATACACATATCATTTTGGTCGACATTTTTTAAATATATATGTATATTATCTCTTAATAATATATGTACTTTATTAATATTAATTGTTGACAGAATGACAGAATGATAAAGCTACATAATGATAAAATGACAGAAATTTTTTAATTTGAATAAATAAAGAAAATAAATAACCTTATATATACATATATATACATATATATATTTACATATATTGTGATTGAGAAGAAAATTAATAATTTTTTTTTTTTGTGATGTTTTGTTGATGTCATTTTGCATTACAGAATAATGTAATTTATGTAAAAAAAAAAAAAGAATTAAAAATTTCAATTTTTATTTTGATTATTTAATTATTAGGTTCGTTTAATTAAATATTTAAAGGCTCTGCATTCAAAATTATGAAAATTTGATAAATTTTAAATGTTATTCGTGCTCAATTTTTTTTAATAAAGAGTGCAATCTTATTTCAAAAGAGCTTCTATTTCATTAATGTTTAATTGAATGCAGTTATATTTATGAATGCAGGAGTAAGAGAGGGAGGATGATATTTTACATTAATAATAACAGAATTTTGATGGCATAATCAAACATGGTATAATTAACAACAGCTTTTATATAATTAGTTTAGGTATTTAGAGAATTTTGCAGGCATATACTTATTGGTTAATATTATAATAAATAAGACGAATCTCATTAAAAATATTTGTATAAAAAAATTTCTTAAAATAAATAGAGGATTGGAAATAATTATTGAGTTAAGAAAATTTTCAATTTTATATTATAAGAATCTTTAGCATTATTATTATAAGACAAATGCCTATAAATGCAGATCTAACATCAATTTAATTTATTCATAAATTTAAATTGCATGCTTGAATTAGTTAAGCTGACGTTAGACTTGCATTTAAACAAATTCTCTTATATTTCAAGTATGCTAAAAAAATATTTTAATTTTTCTTTTAGGTTAATATTATAAAAGCATGATAATATAAAAGAGTTTTGCAAGGAATAATAAAAAAAACCATATAAAAATTTGATAGAACAGCAAAGAAAAAAAGGTGCTTTGTGTATAAATAAAGTGTTATACAAAAAAAATTTTTTTAGAGAATGTAAAAATAAAAGTGCTTGCATAAATAAAAAATTTGTTACTTTCTTCATTTTGTAAAAGCATAAAAAATCAGATACAAATTACAAAAAAAACAACAAATAATTATTTATTTTTAAATTTTATCTTTAAATTAATAATATTTTTGGTAATATTTTTTCTATATAAAACTTACAATTATATAAAACTTGAAATTTCTAAAAAAAATATTAATTCTCAAATTGATATTAATACTGTTTTTGTTATTATACTATATTCGTATATCTGTTATACAATATTATATTATACACATTTGTCATAAAATATATTAAAAATTACATACTTATTATAATTACAACAATTTGTTATAAAAAAAAATAAATAAAAATTTATAAATTTTCTATATTACATTCTCCTATATATATATATATATATATAAACAACAAATAATAATATACAATTAACAATAAATAGTTATTCAAATTTTTAGACTACAAAAAAAAGTGTATAACAGTTATTCAATAAAATATGTGTATAACAGTTAAGAAATTATTTTAGAATATAACATAAAAACAAACATATATAATATGAATAATTCTCAAATTATGTTTATAGCTACGATTTTGACTTAAATCATATATAAATTAAATATTTGCAATTAAATAATCATTAAATATAAGAAATAACTTAAAAACCAAAAAAATAAAAAATATTGTTAAATTTAATGTTGGTATGTTGTTTTAATTAACTTAAAAAAATAATAATTATCGTAAAAATAATATTGCAAATAAAATTTAAGAAAAATAATATTAAAATAAAGTGAAAATTAAATAAATTTAATAAAAAATATAAAAAAGATTTGTTAAAAAAAATAAAATTTAAAAATTTGTATATCTATACCTTACATGATTATAAATATATTTAAAAAGAAAAGTGAATTTATTAATGAAATTTAATTTCTCATTCTGAAATAAATTATTAATAATTGTATACAACAGCAATGGAATTCTAATTGATTATAATATGTATAATTCTTTATACGAGTCAAATAAATTTGGATAACGTTTAGAGAAAAGGTAATTTTTTTAATTTTTTATTAATAATCAAAAAAATTTTTTTAAATATTTTAATTATGTAATAAAATTTACATTAAAAATGTAATAAATATTACGGTAAATTACAAAATTTACAAATGATATTCGTAAATTTACACAATTACGTTATTATTTTTTTAACGTATTTGTACATTTAAATGGCTTACAATTAAAGTTATTTAAAGAATTACGTTGATAATTATGCAAAAGCACGTATCACATTTAAATTAAATTATTCATTAAATGTGTAATTGTGTACAAGAAGTTTCAATATACAAGAAGTTTTAAGATTAATTTCAGTGATCCTCCAATAACTGCGTATATTCTTAATTTCTTCGTTTTCGACCTATTCTTTTCTCATCTATTCTTATTATACATGCTTTGCAAAGGATTTTGTGTTTTTCGAAATATTCAATAAGAATAGGGAAGGTATTTGGACAGAAACTGCGGTTTTCAAAGAATTTTAAGATTAGTACAGTGATCCTACGAAAAACGCGTATTTTCTTTATTTCCTCGTTTTTGATCATATTCTGACCTTGTCTGTACCTATCACATATGCTTTGCGAAGGATTTTGTGCTTCTCGAAATATTCAATAAGAATAGGGAAGGTATTTGCACAGAAATTGCAATTTTCAAGCGATTTAAGATTAGTACAGTCATCCTCCGGAAAACACGTATTTTCTTTATTTCCTCGTTTTTGATCGTACTCTTACCTTGTCTATTCTTATGACGTATGCTTTACAAAGGATTTTATGCGTCTCGAAATATTTTATAAGAATGGAGAACATATCTGCACAGAAATTGGGTTTTTCAAGGAATTGTAAGGTTAGTACAGGGATCCTCCAAAAAACTCGTATTTTGTTAATTTCCTCATTTTTGACCTTATTGTTATCTTGTCTATACATATCAAATTTGCTTTATAATGATTTTTGTGTCTCTCCAAATATTCAATAAGAATGGAGGACGTTTTACATAGAAATTTGATTTTAGAAGAAATTGAAGATTTGTACAGTGATCCCCTAAAAAACGCGTATTTTATTATTTTACTCGTTTTTTTAACCTCATAAAGGTTTTGTGTGTTTCAAAGTATTCACCGAGAAATAAGCTTATTGAAGAATAATATTGCTTTGCAATAATTTCAATAAAATCAAAGTAAACTTCTAGAATATTTCCGAAATTCTTCTTGAATATGCTTTATATACACATTGCATGATCATATTTACCTATAAACTTTTATCTTATCTCTTATTGTAATTAGAACTTTTTATTAACTTCGACAATAAAATTTAAAAAGTTTTTAAATAAAATTTTTTTAATAAGGAAAGTTTTCATTTAACTTTGTTTAAAATATTTTCATAACAATTAGTACCAGTTAATAAATACATTTATGTTTAATTTTAAAATATTAGGTTAATAATTTACAGTTAAAAATAATGTAACCAGTTAAACATTTTGTGTTTGACCTAAAAGTATGCAATTTTTTTCTATAAATAAAATATTGTTAAGCTAATATTATTTCATGTTAATAATTGAATTCAGTGTATACTTTAATAGAATTTTAGATTTTTACTATTTTACTTTATGAAAGATAATTCCTTGAACTTTAATATAAGTTAAAAAACTATACTAGAAATGTCTCCCAATCTAAATACCAGCTATACTTCTGCATAACATGTAAGTTTGGCTCACTCTACTTTTGCCTCTACATAATTTTAATATTTTATTAGTGTGAAATATTTTTCGTTTTCCAAAAACCTACCTTCATGAAAAAAAATAAGTATAAATAATAAAATTTGAAATATGTATGTTATGAATGACTAAATATACATATTATGTAAATAAATAATGCACAAAAATTATACACATAGCACGACATAATTATTTAAAATAATGGGGCACATGTTCAATTTTCTAGAAAAAATTCATGTTAAAATAGAAAAAATAACAATTATATATGTATGTAGGTCTGGCTTTTTACCTTTTCAGTTTTATATATAGAAATATATAAAATTACGGTAAATTAGATTTAATATTTATACAAATAGAAGTATAAATAGAAAAATTAAAATTTCAAATCTATATGAAAAATCAATTCTATATATGCTTGACAATATTTTAAAAAACAATTACGCAGTGGATTACTTAAAGGTATTACAAACAAATAGACTATACAGGTTTGAAAAAGATAAGGAGGGAAGTGTCATATAAACTTACGATGACAAGCGAACTAGTAAAGGCAAAGGTTTTTTTCATGTATATTAGATGTAAGAAAACAAAAGGAAAAAAAAGTTTTTAAAGTAAAATTTTCTTCTTTATATGAAAATTTTAATTTCTAAGGTATGTTAACTAAGAGCTGTAAAGGGCATTTCCCTAATCTTGTGCAACATCTATATTGCTCAGTTAACAACACCTATAATGCTCAGTTTAGCGAATCGGTTATGCGCTGATCAAATCAAATTTTTTGTCTTTGAAAACGTTTGTAATTTTTGTCTTTTAATTTATTTTTTGAAATGGGCACACATTAAACACGAATATTTATAACACTAAAGTCATTTAACATTAAGCAATCATGTATGTATATGTATGTAGGGATTTCATACATATTTAATTGTATATACATACATATAACAAATATAGAATGTGGGACGGAAGTAGAGTGAAAGGTATCACTTAACATGACACTTATTATAAAGTTCCTGAGTCAACTAGATCATGATTACTTAAGCCTATTATCTTTGAGGACACGTGAAATCTCATTTCTACATTGACTATCCCACAATTCAATTTATTTAAAAATTAGACTTAAGTAAATTTTTAATTTCTGTTATTAGTTTGTTATACAAAAATTTTAATAAGATTATTTATAAAAATATTATAATTCTATGCTTCAATTAAACATAAAATAAAAAATTTATTATGTTCTTGCAATCATTCATGTAAGTAACCTAATTCTTATGTTTATTAAGTTTTATATTAACAAATTTACATAATAATCATGGGCTATACATAAATTTTTTAATTCTCTAATTTTATTCAGAAGAAAATGAAACGATATTATAACAGTATTAATACGCACACACACACATAATAAAATTCAAATGTAAGTACGTAAACGTGTGGGCACATATAGTATGCGTATAGTATTTTTTGTATAGACGATGACGACAATATGCGAAGAACGACAATAATAGTAAATAGGTGTAGGAACAAGGGAATTTAAAGAAAATGAAAAATAAAAAAAAAATTAAAAAAGAAGAAAATTATGAAAGAAATCAGGTTAAGAGTCATAAAAATAAAAATACAAAAAAAAAAAAAACAAAGGACTAAAAACCAACTAAAAATGAATAGAAATTTTTTACAATTAAAAAAGAAAAAACAAAACATGTGAAGAAAAGAGATTATTTCGGAACGAGTAATGAAGATCTACAAGTTTATATATACATATATACCAAGCTGATGCATACACGTGTGTACATTCTACAATTTTACTGCCATATATTCAGTTATTTTTAAATCATGCTAGGCAACTTTATATAATTTTGTGTGTTAGTTGTGTATCCTACATGTGAATAAAATTTTAAAAGAAAATGTGTGCTACCCTGCTAATGTAAAATTTCAGCAAATTTATAAGGCGAAGTTTTAGTAAAGGTTTGTTATACGATTATAGATGTTCCTAAATTTTTTTACTCTTTTTCCTAAATGAGGACATTCTAATTTGCGATAAAAAATTTCTATTTAATCGATCGGTAGAAAAATTGTCCTCTGACCTTCCTCTTATTTGCTGTTGGAATTGGGGTGAATGACTGATATTTGTGTAGGGTCAATACATAAAAAATTACGTTTTTTCATGTCTTTAATTGTCATAATTCAATATTTATCGCGATTTTTCATAGTCTAGAGTAAACATTTGTTACTTTTAATTATTTTTTAGTGATTTGATTTTTATTCCATTCAAAATTGATTTTTTAAGATATGATTTTTAATTTAGATTTTAATTGTAAATTGTAAATTTTAAATTAAACCTTCATATAAATTGAATATGTTATCTAATATTTGTTCATTTGTACCTTCACTAAAATTCTAATTATAATACAAATAAAAATTAGAAATTAAAAATTCAGGAGGCAGTCATAATGAAATTTTTTTAATATACCCGAAATAATGATGAACAAATGTAAGATACTGCCAATTTTTTGTAATAAAAATTTTAATCAGACAAAGGCTTTTTCCAGACAAAAATATCGTACAAGTGTGTTCACACTTCATGTTCTAATATTTAATATTGCAAATCTATATTCTTGTTCTCTTTAAATATTTTAAATTGAAAAATTTTTTATTTTCACAAACAAAATTTTTTCACCTTTCATTTTTCTCAAAGTACTTAGAATTTTTGTTTTTAATATGAAACGTAAAATTTTATATTGATACTTGATTTTGCTTTATTTGTGAAATTTCTTTGAACCGTGGGTAAAAATTTTTAGTTATATTTTGTTCTTTCTTTTAGTCTGGGAATTTTGTTTGAATATTTTTATTGAAAATTTGTTTTTTTTTTTTATATATTTAAATCCGGATTTTATCAATAAAAAATGATTGCTTCAATAAAATTTTAATAAATTCATATTATTATTACTTTACTTAACGAAGAAATCTAATTCTAACAAAATATTTTTTACTTGACTCGTTTCTTTGATTACATCATCTATCTGTTTTGCAGTTGTATGAAGCAATTTTGATAAGTTTAATTCTTAAAAGAATTAATAATGAAATTAAACAACTACATGTTGTATCGATAATTAGTAATATCACTAGACGTGTAGTAGGCAATATGTATATCAAATAGAAAACAACATGTGACATCTAATGTCAACAACACTTAGTAATCATGTAGATTACAGTATGAAACAATGTTAAGAACAATTTAACGGCAATCTCTTTATACTTCTGTAACTCAGTTGATAGAGCATCTGCTTAGAAAGCGGTAG